CGTAAAGTACTATAGCTATCATATATAAATCTCCGAGAAGCGACCTTGAGATATTGTGGCATATTCTGAGCAGTAAGAACCCCACAATGCCTCCTCCATGTCGGTACCCGATCTCCCTAGGAACTATCTCTTCCTGAATATGACACAGGGCATGGCCCCAGCATCGGTTGCGTCGCTGCATCTGAAGATCACTGCGGTCAATGATCAAGATCTTCCTACTCGATACGAGATCGGCATGTCTCACTGATCTTTGAGATGTAGTATGTGACCGGGAAGCTAGGCGGCACGCGGGAACGCATGTCAAATCGCGTCGGGATACGACAGACAGGCCATCGAGAACGTCTATAGCTGTGTATTGATACATGTGGTGTGTTGTCGACCTTGCAGAACTGGTGCTTAGCCTTGGTGATGTTGAGGAGTGATGAGGCCTCACCCAGGGTCGAGGCTGTCGCATGCGAGCCACGCTAGTGTCTTGGCAGTCGTCAATCCAACATTTCGCGGAGGAGCGACTGCCCTCACAGCAACAACAACCCACCATGGCCGACCTAGCAAAAGTAGACGAAGCGGCGCCCGCGCCCGAAGCCCCTCAGAATGTCGAAGAGGAGGTCACTACCGTATCCGTACCGCCGAAAGTCGAAAAGGCCGAAGCATCAGACACCATAAGCGCGGATGGAGCGCCAGCGCAAGATGCGATCACAGTCCACGAAGCCGCTTCGACGGAAGATAGCTCTCTCGGTGCGACTACAAACCCCGACCCGAAAGCTGCGCTCGCTGCGCGAATGGCCCGCTTCAAAGCGCTCCAAGCAGCCAAAGTAAACGGGCGTAAAGAGACAGAGCGCGAGGTTCGCGATGCCGAAGACCGCAGTTCTCGCCTTGCGCAGATCTCCAAACTTGGCGCCCTCAACGAGAAAGCCTCGTACAAACTCCTCAAATCCGAAGACCCCGATTTCGAGCGCAAGAGAAATTGGGACTACACAGTTGAAGAGAGCGAGAGCTGGGACAAGCGGCTGAAGAAGAAGTCGAAGAACAGGGAGGGAGTCGCGTTCGCAGACTACAGGAATGAGGCGAACAAGGTGTACAAGAGGCAGATTGGTCAGATGAGCAAGGTCGATCTGGAGGCGTATGCCGAGGAGAAGGCAAGGAAACTGCAGTCGCAAGTATCCTCCGGACTTCTGCAACTCGTTGAAACAGATGCCGGAGAAATCTACACCGTCGACAATCAAGGACGCATAAACACACCAGTCGACGAAGCGTACAGTCACGACCACAAGCCATCGAAGGAAGCCGTGGATAGGCTAGTAGAAGACTTGGAGAAGGGCGAGCGCGCCAGGTTGAAGGCCAGGGCAGCGAGAGGCATCCGAGATTCAGAGGATATGGGCGATGTCACGTACATCAATCAGAAGAACAAGCAGTTCAACGACAAGCTCTCGCGCTTCTACAACAAATACACGAGCGAAATCCGGGACAGCTTCGAGCGAGGAACGGCGATATAAACGGGGCGAGAAAACGATACTGTACTTATACCCTGGCATTGTGCTCCCAAGGGCCGGCGTTATTTGATGCGAAAAGGCATTAGGGATTTGGCGTTATTACTATTACATTACGGCACACACTTCCATCGTAGATACGGTGGAGGACATTGGTTCAAGTCTGAAATATACTCGTATTCCTGGATATCATGCGCATCGCCCTACATCATACTACTCAACACCCTATTCACGTCCTGGCCCGGCTCAGGCTTCTTCATCGCCTTGCTCGTAGCCGTATGCTGCGAGAACTCGAGCCTTCCCTTCCGCCTCTTTGGCTTCCCATCTACTTCCTGTACCGCTGCTGCTGCCTCAGTCGCCGCGTTATCGCCATCAACATCTTCTCCTCTCTTCCGCCTTGTAGCCTCAATACCACTAGCCATCTTGCCTCTCTCCACATTCTCCAAGAAAGCCTTGTTCTCCTTCTTGCCCTGCGAAATCTCAAATCTGAGTCTTGCCGCGCGCTCTGCGTTCTCATTCTGGATCTGCTCGACCAGGTTGTGCCACTTGACCCCGCTCAAGTACCGGATATTCCACACTTCGTCGTGCCACCTGCCCCTCTTCTTTCCGCCCATTGTCTGCGCATTCAGGTTCTCAGCAACGAACTTGGCGTCGCGTTTGTGAAGGAATTCGACCCAGCCATCGAGGAAGAGCTTGCGACGCGTGCCTCCGTTGCGCAGGCGCTGGGTGCGGGAAGTGCTGTCTTCGGGTGTAAGGAATATGCGACCTACGGCGCCGTAGGGTGTTAAGAGGGAGCGCATTACGGCTGGCTTCATGAAGGGCGGGACGCGAGATAGGTATATGACGCCAGACTTGTCTTTCTTGAGTGATGAGGGTGGCAGAGCCTTTCCGAGTTTTGTGGTTTGTAACCTCATTTCGGAGGGAAGGGATGCAGCGAGTTTCTCGAGATGTGCTAGTTCGGCGATCTTGGAGGCGAAGCGCTTCGGTGCGTGTTGCTCATCATCGTCTTCTCCATCTTCGGCATCGTCTTCGTTGAAGTCTTGTTCTTCACCATCTTCCAGTTCCTCCGCATCGCCCTCGGAATCGGAGACGTGATCTATTTTTTGCCGCTTTGAGGTAGGTAGCATGCGCGCTCTGCTCTCCTCCCCGGAATCATAGCCTCTCTCCTCGTCTTCGCTTTCCTCAACGTCGAGGTACTCGTTTCGTTTGCGCGTCGCCATTGCTGCGCGGAAAGTGACTCTTTTACGGATCGCAATATGATAGACTCTTCTCGGAGTACGTAACCGTGTTTCGGTCGGGAAGCGCCTGTCGTGACGTGTATATCCGGGCTGTATACGGGCGCATTCGTCTGGTCGAAACTTTTGCGGAGAAGTCGCGGAGGTCACCTTTTGGGTGGGGCCTGACCTAGCGCCTTGGCACTTTGTCGCGCAACTCATCTGCCAGCCTCCGTCACCTTTTCACATCCACACCCACCACACACACCAAAGAACTCACCTACCCGCGCATCACACCTTGCTCGGAATCCCACCAACGAACACACCTACTCGCGCATCACACCTTTCTCGCAAACCCACCAACAAACTTCACCTACCTGCACACACACCACACCTCGCGCAGCCATGGGAGGAGATCTCAATCTGAAGAAGTCGTGGCATCCCCACCTGCGCAAGAACCAGGAAAGAGTGTGGAAGGAGGAGAAGTCTGCGCTCGAGGAGCGCAAACTGATCGAGAAGTTGCGCAAGGAACGTGAAGAAGAAGCGGCAATCGAGCAGCTGCAAAGATTGCAAGCTGAGAATGGCGGCAAGGTCGTACAGCGAAGGGTTGACTGGATGTATTCAGGCCCGAGTGGCGATGCCGGTGTCACAGAGGAGCGCGAGGGCTACCTTTTGGGCAAACGCAGGATCGACAACCTGCTGAAGTCGAACGATACACAAAGCCTTCAGAAGGGCGCTGCAGTTGGCATCGACGCCGCCACGGCCGACACGAATGCGAACACTGCTCGCGACACACAGAAGAAGGTCCTCCAAGACCCGCTCCTCATGATCCAGAAGCAGAAAATGGAGATGCAGTTGAAGGCTATGAAGGACGCGCAGAAAGAGGCTAAATACGCCGAAAAGCGCGAGAAAGAGAAGGAGCGAGAAAAGAAACACAAGAACCGGGACAGGGAGCGGAGTCGCGAGCGCGAGCACAAGCACAGCAGTCGGCGCCACCGATCGCGGTCGCCACGTAGGAGAGAAGACCGAGAAGATCGTCGCGATCGCGACAGCCATCGTGACAGCCATCGTAGACGGTCGAGATCCCGCTCACGATCACCATACCGCAAACACAGCAGCCGACGAGACCGCACTCGGTCACCACGCCGGAGGGAGGATCGCGGCGATCTTCGCGACCGCGACACATACCGACGACGGGATCGTACACCACCGAGAAAACAAGTTGAGAGACACGTCGAGAAACAAGTCGATGATACGGAAGCCCGTCAGAGCGCTGCTGACCGCCTAGCTGCAATGCAAGCAGAGGCGACATCACTAGAGGAGCAGCGTGCTGAGCGTGTCCGACAACAAGAGATCAAGGATGCAGAGGAGGAAGAGAAGCACAAGAAGAGTATGGATGGAGGACGCCGTTTCATTTCGAGCGTGCGGGGGCAAGCCTCAAACATGGATCTGGGCGATGCGATCGCTCGTGGACGGGGTAATCTGAGGGCAGAGATTGATGCTTAAGTTTTTAAGGGCTTGGAGTAATGTGCTTATGATGAATAGATAGTAAATTGATACCCTGGTCTTCCTCGCTAGACTTGACTCCGCCCTCATACCCGTGACTTCGGGGGACTTCTCCCACCCCGACTGCTGATTAGAGTCTTCCGCCATTTGATGCTCTCATGTCTCCTTTCTATCGAGACTTCGCTCAATTGGCCCAGACCTTCAACATGCCCTTAACTCACAAGTGAGCACGAATCCTACAAACCGTTCATGGCGCAAGCGAGGCAGACACTGCAAGTTGTGGAGGAAGGGATGAGAGAGGAGCGCCCTAGGATGAACAAAGGCATATGCTTAGGAAAGATCGCACACTACGAGTCTCAGGTTGAGACCAAACGAGACGAGCTGGCGCGGGTCGAGAGCCACAACATCGACATAGGTGGCGGTGGCGGCGGCGTCGGGGGCAAGACTTGTCGAAGGCCTCAAGATGGGGGTCCAAATACCCCAGACGCAATCGAACAGTGTGGTTCCATGGCTCATGGACTGGGCTGCAATCGAGCTGGACACCAACATCAAATACGAAAACACGGTAACATTTCTAGTATTTTGCTATAGCGACGGTGTGTCTGTCAACCACAAGGCCAATATCTATGAAGGAGAACAAAAGAGCCAAAGGAAGAGGTTGTGACATCCTGGGTGAGTTCGCGGCTGCCGAGCCTTCCTTCACCCTTTCGTGGAACGCAAATATACTCAACGAGCCTAAGTCTATCTCAGCGAGCTTCCTTTGCAGCATTCGACTCGACACTCCGGTTGTGCTTCACAAGCCACTGTAGACGACAGCAACCGCAAGGCTCATTACCAGAGCAAACAGACTCGGTGAGCTGGCCGCCGCTGCAGACTTGGCGTCAAGTCGCTCAAGACAATAGGTAACAGAGTAGCTCGAATTTTGACCGGTAGGTGCACAAGCGAATGGAGTGTCGTATCCGTATTCCTTGGTCTCGCATGTGGGCTTGTTCTGCTCGAGCTCGTCCATCTGGTCTTTGGTATACAGGGCATTACCAACGATGACTGGACCGGTGCAGTTCAAGGGGTTTCCGATGACACCGAGCACGATGCTGAGGAGTTTAGCCGGGAGGGCTTGCGGACCTGGGATTGCGGCAGCGACGGCGGCTATGCCTTCCACAAAGTCTGGTAACGCGTTAGTAGTAATGGGGCACATATCGACGAACTGCTTACTGAAAGCCAACTCCTCATCTTCATCATCTGTGTTCAAGCCGCCAATGGCTACAGACAGGTTCAAAGCAGCATCGGGAACATCGATCTCCTGCGTGTACTTGACGGTATCGTTTGCCGCAACGATAGCATCGGCTTCGACCTCGCCAACAAGCCAAGAGTTCTTGATGGTGTTGCTGCCTGCTGTTGAGGCGATAGCGAGAAGCAGGTCGTCTTCTTGCAAGTCACGGGTGACCCCGACGTGTACTTCCTGGATGGTGAAACTGAAGCGGACGGCGATGACGACGTTTGCTAGGAGCAGGAGGGATAGCAGTACTTTCTGTAGGGTGAAGGAAGACATAGTAGAGAAGGTAGGAGGGTATTAATCCCAAGAGAGATGGACTGTAGGTGTTGGGGGAAAGTTGACTGGGAAATTCTAGCTGATGTAGATAGGTTTCAGGAAGCGAGGATACTCTCAGGCTGGATTCCGCTCCATCGTTGCGAGCATGATGCTCTACTTATGTTCGTGTGTTCAGCCTGACCTAAAGGGTGAGTTTATCAAGGCTCAGTCCTATGGGGGTCAGATTTGCCGACCGGATATCCGTGACAGAGCAAGGTAAAGCGAATGTGAGGTTTACTCGAGCCTCTTGCGGCCATCAAGAGGCACTGTGCATGCATCTTTGCCAATCAACGACGCTGGCCCCCCAATATCACACAGCATAGCGTGCTGATGGTGTGATGAAGAGACATCGCCGGAATTGTAGAGATGACCGAAGCTCATGTTGACTCCGACGCCGTGGCTTTGGGGCCGAGCCATTATGCACAGGTGCCAAGTGCGTATTCTCGCTTGATGTTGTATGCCATGAGCATTTGGAGTCCATTTGAAGTCGGTCCTTCTAGAGTACTAGAAGTGGCTGATGTGATCTGGCCGACAGTTTGTATAGCCCGAGAAGCTTCCTTAACAGGAATTCCGTTCATCTTTGATGAGTCTGAAACCATTGGCGTTGAATGCTGCGGCGGGTAGGAATACCTAGATTTCCAGCCTTGCTGCGCGGTGCTTTTTGCGCCAAGGAAGAATTGCTGACACCGCCCCCGTTCAGTTCAGGAAGTAGAACTGAATAGAGCAAAGTGCTTCGTATGTATGCTACACCCAGAATTTAGCCTGGCAGGTTGCTCTAGCGTTTAGCATCATTCGCGGAAGACTAGCTTAAGCTGAGTAGGATCGCTAGCGATTGCGCCCTCAGCCTTGTGAGCCGCAACATGAACTCAGACCGATGTGCCGGGAATAGCTGACTAGTCAGATTATGTTCTTGGTGTTCCACAGTCAGCCCTAGCCCATCTATAGAAGGTACCAGGCTGAGAGAACGACTGTCCCTAGGTAGCATGGACGCATCCGGCGATGCTGTGAAGGTCTACCATGACGCCACACGCAGTGAGCCGAATTTCCAAGCCGTTTTGATGAATGACCGCTGTTAGACACTTGTTCGGCATATGCAAGACGGGGCACTAGAAGTACGGCGACAGATCTGGTGGACTTCTGCTCCTCAAAATAACTTGGTGCAGGCGGCACCTGCTTCGTTACCACAGGAGTAATAAGCATAACCAACTTCGTCCTTGTCAAGCGATCAACGCCGGTTTGACTTTAGTGCATCTGATCGGCATAGCTGGCATCTTGGAAGCGGGTCCTCGACCGACTGTAAGGCCCGTGGCTGCAGCGCCTGGAGCTACCAAGAACTATAAATACGTTTCCGTGATGAGAGACGCAATAAGGCGACATGCCCGGTGCCGAAGCTTTTAGCATGATGAATGCAATTTCAAGTAGCGTATCACACGCAGTTGACCCTGATTCTTCTGCGGCCCAGTCTCTCGATGTCGTATTGTTGATGAGAGAGGGGTATGAAAGGATGGTGCGAAGTGGCTGTAAGAAGCGCCGGAAGCTTTATATCCGCACATCTCCACAGACTCGAGATCGCCAATGAGGCTGTCTTGATGTCGCATAGTCATTAAGAAGCTGAGGATAGGGCCAAGGTGTATTGACAGATATGGACGATGGCGACATTTGCGCAATCGACGTCTATACGCGCGACACTGGACCTCGACTCCAGGAGACCGGCGGATTGAAAATATCGTGATCGTGAGCCAGTTCATGTCGGGCCAGGTAGGCATGTTTCAGGACCGGGAAACGAAGCTGACAAGTGTTAAGTATACCTGGGGGCCCCTCGTATACAAATCGAGCGTTCACCAGAAAGATAAATGATCTCGATCATCTTGTAGTTCCTGCACCGTGTAGCGCGCAGGAGACGTCGTAAAATCGACAAAGACACTTTCCGGGTGAGATTTATAGTACGGATCCGTGCTCAGGTGCGTCCCATTCATGACCAGTCCTAGATTGGTCAGCTTAGGCCAATTGCGTCTGATCCCTAGTAGACGTTAGCACTGCTTGACGATCCCCTGACCAACGACCATTTACCTTTGTCGTCTCTGATTGTCAACATAATGTCAAACGTGATGGATGACGTCTCGTATTGTGCTTTGATCTGTACCAGCGACTGAAGTCGTTCTAGCAGATCAAATTCTTCCTCTCCGCGATGGTAGTATACCCATGTGATGTATACATCTTTCAACGACGCTAAGGTACCGTCCTTGTGTGCGCTGAGAACATCGAGAAGTTGTTGATCGGCTTCGTCGTTTGGCTCACGGGGATAGTGGATGTGCAGTGATGTGATGCTTGGCGGTAAGAAAGCAGGCAGACTTCGAGCATTCAGAGTATCCCCCGGATCAGACACCAGATACAAAGAGACTCTGACCGAGTTTAAATTGGTGAACTCATGAATAGAATCGAGCTGAGCCATGCCAGTGTGCTCCAATGAGGACCGATGTTGCCTACACAATAACGACAAGTTTTGAAGACTCTCGATGTGGTTGTTCAGCGCAGGAATGAGACCCCCAAACCACTGATCGAGCGTGCTGGAACGCATTGGGTGAAAGCATTCAAATCGCTCTAGAGCTTTACACGACGTTATCATATTCTTGACCGCATTCTCGGAGATGACTGGTTTGAATAGCGAGAGCTTGGTGATAGGCGATGAGCGTAGTGGCCACAACCAAGGGCGGCCGAAAATGATCAAGCCGTCGGCGTCATTGTATTCGAATTCGACTTCAGTTTCATTCTCAGCCATGTCGAAATAGCCGCCCAACGCGACAAGAGTAAGCTCATCCAAGCTGGGAAGAAGTAAAAACGGGAACGCATACCGCGCGGGCGTTTGCGGTGTTTGAGAGAAATCGAAATACAAAATCTTGAGATTGTCAAATCGGTGAGTGTGAAGCCGACTTAGGCCCATAGCCATACGGCCTATGCCCTCGAGAAGGGTATTGTTGCAATCGTCATAGAGCCCTTGGTATTCAAGGGCCGACCGTGCCCATAAACGCTCCAAGTTCGGTGTCCGAAATGCCACTAGAGCGAAGTATAGGTCTTCGTACCGTAGCCAACGGCCCACGATTTCTGAGGCGTCTTCCGTGCCTAATCCAAAAGCTCTCACGTCTCTTGTAGTGTCTTTAATGTACTCATCGCGGACGCGCATACGGCGCTCACCGTCCTGTCTCAGCCTAGCACGCGTCTTCTGTCGAAGGGCTTTGATCTCGAAGCGAAGGCTTGGCTGCTCTTGGAGACGAGCAAAAAGTCTTCGAGACTGGGGCAAAACACCGTCATTCGGGGGCAGGTCTATCGATCCGTAGAGCAACGTTCTGGCAATATGGTACAACTTCTTGGAAACGCAACAAAGAGCCGCAAGGGCGTCCGTGCGGCTGTAGTCGGCTGGATCTGCCCAGGTTGTAGGGCCTCTCAGTTGGTCAACAATGTGGATGAGCAATTCGTTGGGAAGTTCGTCCATGGTGGAGAGAATCTGCGGCTAGGTAGAGAGATGATGGGAGTGTTGGTGGGATGGAAGGTGACGTTGACGGGTAGTGGAGAAGGCACGACCATGACGCGTCGGGAAGGAAAACACCTCGGCGGAAATTCGCGCCAGCTAAGCGGGCGAAAAGAGGAATCTTTACTCTACTCCGAATGAGAACGAAGACGTCTGACAATGATACTTGCCAGGCCGCGTTCATTGCCGCCTCTTGCAGGGAGGTTAGCAAGTGGGCGGATTGGTCCATGGCGCGCGGCAGGGAGGCGCGAACCTGCCACGACCTCAGGTGAGACACGTGCAGCTACCCCACGCCCACGCTACTGGGCCCGCATCAGCCCCCCGCCGATGCCCTTGGAGCTCACCAGACGACTCTCAACCTCAACTACCACCAACAACATGACCGCCACTATAGACTCTGAGACCCTCAAGCAGTACTTGGCCGACAGCCCGCCCACTGTCGTGCCTCTGACCATCAAGCCTCACTTTGATGCGCTGAGCGACAAGGAGAAGCTCTACGCCCACCATCTCTCAGTGTAGGACATACATATGCCTCAGCAGTATATGGTATAGTAACTGACCCATACCACAGAGCCTGCTTCGCCGGAACACGCGTCGTCCTCCGCCAAGTCTCCCCCGAATCCGAGCACATCTATGACTTCATCGTCGCCCTCCACAAGCACGCCAAAGGCGACTACGCTTCTCTCGCCAAAGACACCGGTCTCTCACAAGAAGAGATTGACGCATACCTCGATTACTCAGCGCAGTTCCTGGGCAATCTAGGCAACTTCAAGTCCTTCGGAGACAGCAAGTTCGTGCCCCGCCTCGAACCGCGACAGCTGAAGGCACTCGCGACCGCCTCCAAAGACACATTGGCCATATACGAAAAGTTCAAGGACGCCATATATGCTGGAAACGATGTGGGTAAGCTGCACCTGGGCTACCCCGGTGCGGGACACATCTCCACCTACTACCCCGACAGCCCCGACATCACCAGCGAACAGATCTCCAGCGTGAGCGATTTCCTCGAAGGCAAAGGGCTACTTCCGGAGAATACAAGGATCAGGAAGGCGAAGGATGGGTATGAGGTTCTCATTGCTTCAGCATCGGACAACCCATCGGCAGAGCAACGCGATCTGAAAGAAAGCGAGTGGACAATGGACGATGGCAGCAAGGTGAAGCTGGTCTTTGGTGACTACTCCAAGGAGATGGACACCATTGCGCACCACATTGAGCAGGCAAAGAAATACGCAGCCAATGACCACGAAATCAAGATGATGGAAGAATACTCCAAGAGCTTCAGGACTGGGTCACTCCAGGCTTTCAAGGAGAGCCAAAAGGCATGGGTACAAGACAAGGGACCTCAGGTGGAATCAGACATCGGATTCATCGAGACATACCGCGACCCACACGGCATCCGTGGCGAATGGGAAGGCTTCGTTGCCATGGTCAACAA